AAATAAATAAATAAATAAATAAATAAATAAATAAATAAATAAATAAATAAATAACGATGGGCATGGTAGCGCACGCCTTTAGTCCCAGCACTGGGGAGGCAGAGGCTCTCTGTGAGTTCAAGGCCAGCCTGGTCTACAATGCTCGTTCCAGGACAGCCTGGAGAAACCCCGTCATGAAAAACAAAATAAAGTAAAAAACAAAACAAGCAGAAATATATACACACATGCATATATATATATATATATATATATATATATATATATATATATATGATAGTTTTGCCTGAATGCATGTGTTTGTAGCACTCTAGTGCCTGGTACCCACGGAGGTTAGAAGAGAGCCTTGGATCCTCTGGCGTCATGGATGGTTCTGAGACACTGTGGGGCTGGGAATCAAACCTGAGCCCTTTACAAGAACAGGACATGCTCTTAACTGTTGAACCACCTCTCCAGCCCCTGCTTGTCTTGAGTCACATGCTCTGTTTCTAAGAGATGGCCTAACTGTCTTACTATTTTTTAAGAGCCTTTTATTTTTATATGCATTGGTGTTCTGCTTTCATGTCTATGTCAGGGTGCTGGATCCCTTGAAACAGGAGTTACAGACAGTTGTGAGCCGCCATGTGGTTGCTGGGAATTGAACCCAGGTCCTCTGGAAGAGTAGCCAGTGCTCTTAACCGCTGAGCCCTCTCTCCAGCCCCCTAGAACTCTAATTTTTACTTCTGGGGTGTTTCCCTTTCTCCTGCAAATAATAAGCTACTCATTCCTAATACTTCCATGCTTTTGCCACTGGCATGAACTTCTTAGGAAACTACCCAGGCTTTCACACTGACCAGGCAAGATGTGCCACACTCAGAGGTCAAGACAGTGTATTCTCAAGTCCTACTAGAAAGCCTATGCAAAATACCTGTACAACCTCCACCAAGCATAAATGCAAAGAACATCATGCACAATTTTAACAAACCTGATGACAGGCTCTGACACCAGTGAGTTTGAGATTACCAAAATAACTCAGTTATTTTGATTTTAAAAATTATACCTTTAATTGTAGAGTATTGTTAGATAATACAGCGATAGACAAGATACTAGGGTAACTGACCAATACCAAGGGAATCTGCTCTACAGATTTACTTGTTCATCCACTCTCACAACCATAGAACACAGGCACAGAGTGTCTGGGTGTGTGCAGAAACAGGGACTTGCGAACAGAAAGCATGCAGGTAGCGTTAGTGAAGTGTGGCAGACTTCCACAAAGTTCAGCACAGGGAGGGCAGCCACTGAGCGCAGCAGAGTGGCCAGAGCTGGCATGGCCGCTGTCTTTATAGCCACCCAGCTGGGGTGTACACAGATGGAGAGATGGACAGGCGATCAGAAACCTTTGGGAGCCCTTCAGCTCCTAGAAGGCAAAAGCAGCAAACGGGACGTGGCATAACCTTTACAGGAAGGCCAGGTGGGCGTGAGGGAAGTGGTGGGGGTACAGCAGGGCTTGGGGCACAGGGGTGCGAGTGCGTGTGTGTGTGTTGGAAACAGGAGGGAAGGGGGGCGTATGAAGTTGGGTCAGAGGTGCTGTGTTCTACGGGCCGCTCCCAAGCAGTCACTTACAGTGGCTCAAAGAAGCAACGGGAGAACGCTGAACTCCGCGTAAGTCACCAGCTACACTGATACAGAGGACATATCTGAGTTTAGTAACCAAGAGCATGTAAGTCACCTAGGAGTTAAAATATGAGTACCCAGTCGGCTAGATTTTGTACAGAAGAGAAACCATGTGCCCTGGCCCGAGTCCACACTCCAATGGAAGTGAGCACTTAAGAGGCTCTTGGAGCAGTTTTTCAGTCAATTGCATTTGAAGTTATGACTAACTAGTGATACGGTGTCACCTAGCTGTGGTCACAGTGACTTTCTGTAGTGAAAGCACTGCTCTTTAAGTGCCAAATCCCAAAAAATTAAACAAAAAAGGGTTTTCTTTAATAAAAAAAATAATGTTACATTTGCAACTAAGCACCACAGAAATATACTGGATACATATATGTGTGTGTGTATATATATATATATATATATATATATATATATATATATCCAGTGATTGATGGAAATATATATAATGTATATACATCCCAGCCCCAGCTCCTGGGTGCCAACTCCCTTCCATCCCCCCAAGGCTGAATAAGCACCAATATATGGGCTACCTAAGGAGAACTGAGGTACCTTTTTAACTATTTTTATCTGGAGGCTGGAAACACATTCCTGTCTAGATTTATTTCTTCGGATGAGGCCATTTCATCACAGGAGGAGATAACTAAGTCTGAGAGAGGACAATGGATCTAACTGTCCAGCCATTCTCTCACAACTGATGGACACGCACAAGCGTTCAGTTCTGTACAAAACCAAACCTTACAGGCCAGTGCCTGTAAATTAACTGATGTTAATTTTCTTCCATAACAAAAGAAAGATTCTCACACTGGAGTTATGTCTACAGTTCTATCTTAAGATCTACGTCACGCAAGAACATGCTGATTCTTATGAATTCGGTTGCTGCTATCAGAGTCCACATTTCACTGTACATACACATGCCTTTATGCAAGCTAGGAGAAAGCCTGGGGCGTGGCCCCATCAGACTCCAGGGTGAGCAGCCCAGGGCCGAGCGACTGTAAAGGTTGGACGGCAAGGAACACAGAGATGACGTCCTCTGGGAAGGTTTCTGCACTCCCTTTCCTGCCGCGGGGTCAGTTCACTTCCTTCTTTCATCCTGTCATCCCTTCCTATCTTTTCCTAAAGGCAGTCTCCCTACTATGATCCCTAAGGTGATTTTTAAAGAAAACACATAAATCTGATTAGTGGCAGTATCGATGGGTATGTGTCGCTTGCTAACGTCGCCACCATCCTCAGGCCCTTGGTCCCCAAACCTGCGCCTCCTTTTTCCTTTCGCTCTGAATCTTCGGTCAGTTCTCAAAAACAGGCAAGCTACGCTCCTTGAGAAACAAAGAGCAACGATGCGATCGCTGCCTTCAGCGTGCTGAATCCTGTGTGCAAGAAGATGGTAAGATACGAGCGTGAGTTACTCAAAACCAAAGCCCTTTGGGAGGGAAGTGTGGGAGCCCAGCGGCCACAGTGTGCGGCCCACAACTCAAGGCAAGTCCGCCTGCCTTCTGCCGAAGCCGCTGCGACCACCCTGTTTCAGTTCTACGTTCCCACTGCAGTCTCTTTGGGCCAAAGATACAAGAGAAAACAAAACCACACAACTTTTTAAAGGTCTACTCCATCTCCAGGCCTCATCCACCAGCATCTTGTCCTCTGGTCTTCAGCCTCCAAGTTACTTGGGGTTGGGGGGGGGGGGGGGGGGGGCTGACCGACGAAGCAATGCACGTAATGCCCAGTGACTAAAAATCCCTATCTTGGAGGAGGGGAGCACGTCCCCAGAGCTGCGGGTTAAACTTTCAAAAAGGGTCGTCTTCTCTCCTATTCTAGACTGTGGCCTCACAAGACAGGAGGAAGTCGGAAGGTTAAAAGGCGCTGTCTTAAGAGAGCTCGCCGACACCAAAGACAGCCGACCTTCCCACGAGTCACTTCTGCCTTAGCACCGCGCGGGGAGGGGAGGGGGCGGCTTAGTCGGTGTGAACTCTCTTGTGCTTAATGAGGGCCGAGCTCCGGCTGAAGCTCTTGTCGCACTCGGTGCACTCGTAGGGCTTCTCCCCGGTGTGCACCCTCTGGTGGGTGATGAGGTTGGAGCTCTGCGTGAAGCCCTTGCCGCACTGCACGCACTCGTAGGGCTTCTCGCCCGTGTGGGTCCGCTGGTGCTTGATGAGGTCCGAGCGCTCGCCGAAGCTCCGCCAGCACTGGCCGCACTCGTAGGGCTTCTCGCCGGTGTGGGTCTTCTGGTGGGTGATGAGGTGCGAGCTGCGGCTGAAGCTCTTGCCGCAGGCGCCGCACTCGTAGGGCTTCTCGCCG